ATAGTTGCATCGAGAAATACAAGAGGAAAATTAAGTTGATACCTGATGAAGTTGACTACATTTTATACATTTTTTTCGTATTACTCTTTCTGCACATCAGGGAAAATATATATTTGTATGTAGGTATGTTGTATGTTTAAATTGAAATTATATTTGTATGTATATTTCTATAATATTTTGCTCGTATACAATGGACAAAGACATTAAGCTGATTTTCAGACTAACGCAAATAATCATAGCTACAGATATGGCTTTTGTTAAGCTGTTGTGCGGTAACTAAACTCTTTCAAAATACAACACAACAAAGAATTATTAAAATATCAACATTGTGTTAATGCTATTATATAATTTAGTGTTTAATAACCAGGAATAACAGCATTGAAGTTTCAGTTATAACCGACAAAATAGTTCCCCGAACACTTAAAATAGTGCGTTAATATGTGATCTCTTGTGTTTTTTTTAATGAAAACTAAAATTTTGTAAAAAAAAAAATAAAAATCTATTTTAAATTTTAACAAATGTAGCTTTTACGAAATTCGTTTTTGCTGTTAAATTTGTTACTCAGAACACAATTTAAAATTCTACCTTTAAAAACAATGTCCACCTTTTCTATTCACTTCTATTGTTGTATTATACTTTTGTTACTTTGCATTATATTGTGATCCACTCTTGTATTCTTGTGTTTTTTTTTTTTCGCCCACAATTTTTTTAGACTTGTTCTCTTTTTATGTTTTAAACTACTTTTTATATATAAACAAGTAAGAATGTATAATCGGCATGGTCGACCATATGATACCCTCTACATGTCTGTAAACATTTATAATATAAACTGTTTTTTGTCTTAATTCCGAAATAGTTTTAATAATAATTTGTTGAAAAAAATGATTTTCTGAAAGAGAGATTATAGGGGGGCTTATTGTAAATATGGACCTACCTTTCATATATTAGTAGAAGCGTTTACGTTTCCTTTAAAGTTATTGAGATACTAGTGTTTATAAGTGAATTATTGCACCTTCAAATCATTGTCGGAAGGGGACTTTGTAATGGGTCAAGGGGTCAAATGAGGCCCGATCATAACAACTTAATCTTATACAAAACTAAGTTGTGCCAATTTTTGTAAAGTTAAGTACTATAAAATTTAAAACATTTATGAGCCCTAGGGCCCTATACGGGGTTACGAAAATAATAAACCGATTTCAACCATTTTCAATTGGCTTCGTCATTGGGCGAAGAGAAAAGTATCCCAGCGAAAACTTTCATTACCATGTAAGGGGTTAAAATGCTTAAATTACTTACACAATAGCATTTTAAGTCATTATTTCAACATGGTGAAGTAATTGGAGGCAAGTACTTACCACAAACGATTACAAATAATTAGAAAAAGTAGTCATTGTAAATCGCATGAAAAAAGTATACATCTTCTATATCTTCACTAGCAAGATGACTAATGAATTATAAAGTATTTATATAACACATTGTTAGTAAGACCTTATTAGACTACTTCTATGTAATCCAAACTATATGTACTAGTCATTGAATAGTATGTTGTTAGGTAAGTAATTTCAATTGAAAGTCATTACCTAGTATTTGGCACATATGTATATGTGCCAAATTTCCGCAAATTATCTGACCTTATTGCGATCTGTTTCGGGCGCACAAGAACACACAGACGTGTAAAGACAAACGGACGGACAGTCGAACATAGCTTAATCGAATCGGAAAGTGATTCGGAACCGATTGCAATACTTTAAGTTGGGTGTATTACCAATATTTTCTGGGTGTTTATAAACATCAGCTCAACAAACAACCTTACTATAGTGGTGTTGAGTATAAAACAGTTTTACTCTTTTGCAATATAGAAGTGGAAGTGACTACATTACTCACTGAGAATTTTTAGGTGGTAAAATGTGAACATTGCCTAAAAAGTGTTAAATAAAGATAGTTTCGTTCTTTAAGAAAATGTTTTTTAAAGCAGATTTTGCACTAAAAGTGCACAGAAATTATAGAAAAGGTACTCACAAACCAAACACAGATCCAAAGTGCTTTTCTATAAGAAAATTTTCCATATTCTGAGTGTGTTTTTCTGCAAGAAAAGTTATCAGATTCTAAAAGCTTCTATAAGAAAAATAATCAGATTCTGAGCGCTTTTTTATAGATATTGAGTACACTATAATTTTTAAGAGACAGAGTACTTTTTCTATAGGAAAAGTAAACATATTCTGAGTGCAACGAATAGTAATTGAATTCTACGAACTTTTTATATAGAAAAAATACTTAGATGCAGATTTCTATACGAAAAGTATACAGACTATGAGTAAACTAATTAAGAGTACTTTTTTCAAAAGGAAAAGTACTCAGTTTCTGATTAAGAAACAGAGAACTGAAACGAAATCCCAAGCGGTTTCAGAAGTATGGTCAGTACGGCTTTTTTTTAAACCAAGTACAAAATACTTATTCAAGTACCGACCCTTTGAGTACGAAAACCTAATTTAAGCCTTTTTGAGGTCAAAGTTATCTTTAAAAGTACTTATTTGAGAATTTTTGGTATGATTTAATAGCAAATGTATATAAAATTTAAGGAATCAGGTACCATACCAATATGGGTATGGTACCTCTCATGTTCACATGAGTGTCAAAGTTCTTCATGCTAAATTTGAGGACTCTAGATCTAAATATATACATAGATGCAAGAGTTTAGCTCTAATAGTTTCTTAGACATACGAATTTTTGTATTTAATTCATATGAAAGGTTCCAAGAACCCCTAATGAACGTCCGCACATTTTATTCCCAAATGTTCACTTTTATGTAAAACTTCGTTTGAATAAAAGAATAAAATTAAAAAAATATAGACAAAACAAATAGTTTTAGTGGAGGATAGTAGTCTGGGTCTTTTTCTTGTAGTACATATTTAATTTTATCACTTTATACTCATACCATGCAAGTAGGTGTTAATTATATTTAACATTTTTTACTCTATGGTGTATTCTTTCTAAATTTAACCACTAGTTTCTTTGTAGTTTCATCCTATTTTAGCATATATTTTTTTTTTTTTTTTTTTTTTTGTCCAGAAAAAAAGTGTCTAAAGTTATTTATGTGGCATTAAATTTAAACTTGATTTAGATAAAACTAATGCAAACTTTACTGTAGACACCCACTTTAGGTGAATCTTACATAATTAGTTACTTGGTAGTTGGTTTTAATTTGGTTAATCTAAGTGAGATAAAGTAAAGGAGTTAGTTTTGTTTTTAAAGATTAAAAATGGCTGTTGTGTAAAAACAATAAAATTGTTGCGTCTGGGAAAAAGTACTAAGTTTTACACATAAGTCAAGCCTATTTTAAAGATAACAAAATGTTTCTAGACTTTTTTATACCCACCACCAAAAAGGATGGGGGTATATTGATTTTTCATTCCGTTTGTAACACATCGAAATATTTTTCATAGACCCACAAAATGTATATATATTCTGGGTCCTTATTTAATTCTAAGACGATCTAGCCATGTCTGTCTGTCCGTCCGTCCGTCCGCCCGCCCGTCTGTCTGTCTGTTGAAAGCACGATAGAGTCCGAACGGAGCAAGATAGAGGATTGAAATTTTCCACAAATATTCACTACATAACAATGAAATTTTATGTCGATCGGTCCATAATTGCCCTACCCCCATATAAGGTCCCCTTTCGAAAATTACTTTAGCGCCCATTACTGGCTTAAAAATACGATTATAGTAATAAAATTTAACACACAAAGTTTCATATGATCCAAAATCTTCCTACCATTTTATGAGGAGTCGGTCCATAATTGACCCTACCCTCTTATAAGGCCCCTTCAGAAAATTTGTTTAACGCTCATTACTGGCTTAAAAATACTAGTATAACAATGAAATTTGACATAAGTCTCTTATTATCAAAAACTTCTCTACCTAATTGTATGTTGATCAGTCCATAATTGACCCTACCCCTATATAAGGTACCCTTCAGAAATGACTTTAACGCTCATTATTGGCTTAAAAATACGAGTATAGTGATGAAATTCGACACACATAAGTTTCAATGATACAAAAATCTCTCTATCAAATTTATATGGATCGGTCCATAATTGACCACATATAAGGTGCCCTTCAAAAAATTACTTAAACGATAATTACTGGCTTAAAAATACAGAATACAGAAAAGCGATGAAATTCGACACACACACATATTTTTTATACGAGTTAAAACCTATTCATCAAATGTATTGAGGATCGGTCCATAAGAAAATTACTTTAACGATCTTTGCTGACTTAAAAATACGTGAACAGTTATGAAATTTATAAAAAAACATTTATAGGAACATAATCATCTTCAACCCAATTTCATGCGGGGAAAGTGTCGGGAAGTGATATTCGATGAAAAGATGTTTTGTATGAACCAAAATTGGTCTAAAATTTGTTTATGAAAACGGTCAATTATTAACTCTATCTCTCATATAAGGTCCTCATCAGTTAATTTGATGAGTAATATCTTTTAAGGCATACGGTTTGATGGTGGGTATATGAGATTCGGCACAGCCGAATATAACACTCTCACTTGTTTTGATTGCTATAGGCAACTAAAGGATACTTTGTATTTTTAAAAAATAATCTAAATAAAAGATTTAGCAATCTAATATGATTGAAATTTAAGACCTTTAATCTTTTAGTTTCCTTTCAAAAAAATGTCTTTTTGTATATTTGTAAACATATCTCATATAAACTCAATTTTTTATCCATATAACTTTTAACAATTCTTTGAGCTAAAAAGCATATAAACACTTTCGTTATTAAAGTGTAATCAAAAATACATTTCAGTTGAAAAAAACACATTAGCGAGTGTTTTTAAAAGGAAATTTAAAACCAGTGTTTTCCTTTTACTCAACACACACACACTTTTCTATCAATAGATTTCAATACAATATTTTCCTTATGTATGAGTGAGTGGTGAAGGGGATGTTACTGTACTTGATAGAAATATAGTATTAAACTTACCTGGCAGCACGCATTAATGCAACGGCATGTTCCAATTTACCAGTGCGCAACATTTTGTGAATCCTTATCATACAATCTTCCCTGAAATAGACGTAAATATAGAAGATAAAAAAGACAAATTGTTAACAAAAGGATTTTTATAAAATAAAGTTAATCTAGGCAAAAAAACGAGAAATCTTTGAATTGATGATGATGTAGCAGAAATAAAATAACAAGATTCAATCAAATTTAAAGACATTTTGAAATGTTTTTTCTCTTCCTTTCATCATTTTAGGAGAAAAAAAAACAACAAATGGCGACAACTTTATGTTGATGGTGTTTTAGAATAGTGACTTATGTTGTTGTGAATGCTGTCAAAGTAGTATCTAGGAACTAATATCACAACAATGTTATTTTGTCAAGGTATGCAAAAGTATTTTCAAAATAAACTTTTAACAAATCAGACTCGCTATAGAAAGGCATGGCAACGAGTTATATTTAGATAATAAGGACTGAGTCAGAAAAACTTTCTAGCTAAAACTTATTCTTGGTTCCAAAATATTACAAAACAAAAGAAAATTTAACAATATGGACAAAAAAAAAGTACAAATGAAGCTTCCTTAAAGAACCGTATAAAGAATACTTGAACAAGAAAATCAGGATCTTGGAAGCAAGTTCAAGCAGATATTGATAGGGCAAACTAAGTCCAATAACTATTTCCAAAATCACCCAAGAGACTTCCATTAGAAAAGCAGCTCGTAAAGTTTTGATATTCGATATTCTTTTGTGCGTAGAGCCTAAGCTCATGCTGGGTTGAAGTCATATAAAGTTCAGAAAATTCTGATCAATCAAAAGTAAAAAACTTAAAAGCCGAGAAAAAGAGTGAAATTCTTTATTTGCAATCTATTCTCTGTACATATATAGACATTTTACAACTAACTACCTGGTCATGATTTGTGCCGCTGATGGACGAGGTAATGTTCAAGACTAATACCGGACAAAAAAAGAAAATCAGCACAGAGTACCTTCACATTTCTGGCCCGATTTGGCATCATAACCACTATGGAAAAGGAATTTCAAACACATTGGACACTTGCAAAAAAATAATTAAAAAACACAGGAAAACAAGTAGGAAAGTATATTTGGGAATGGCCAACCATATAATACCCTACACCATGAGTATATTTTTAAAATTTTTATTTTTCATAAAGAAACTTTTATGTTGAATTTTACCTTAATTCCAAAGTATTTAAGCAATTTATTGGTAAAAAAAAACTAATTTTCTAAATGAGGCTTTATATAGGAGTATAGGTCAAACATGGGCCGATCCTCATTAAATTTGGAAAAAGGATATTTTTAAATAACAGTTAATTTTGTTGAGTTTCATTGCGATACAAATGGTTAAAAGTCAATTTTAGACGTTTAAGACATTTTTTGAAGGGTGGTTTGTATGGGGGGTTAGGGTCAAATAAGGGCCGATCATTACGAAAATCTACAGTGTCATTTATACTTACATGTACAGCCAGCCAGACGGACAGACTTAATCGACTAAAAAAATAATTCTGAATCGATCGGTACACTTTAAGGTGGGCACAAACGTATAATACCCTCCCCACTATAGTGGTGTAGGGTATAAATAGCCCAAGGCATGTGCGACTTTAAGCGTCCGTAGACCACCTCTTCCAAAAATGAAAGGTTAACAAATATTATAATTAATTTCCACTTTTTTCAAGAAATACCTATTAAACCATGCATACTAATGTTCTAATTAGAGGAAAAATAAAATGTATAGCCGGGCATGGTCGACCATATGATACCCTACACCAGTGGGTATGTTAAAAATTTGGATAATTTTTTAAAAAATAAAGCATTTAATTTGATTTTTATCTTAATTCCGAAAAATTTCAACTTATTGTTAACAAAAAAAAAAAAGATATTTTCTACAAGAGTGCTTATATAGGGGGGAGGGTAAATATGGACCTATCCTTATAAATGTTAGTAGAGTAATTTACATCTGCATCAAAGTTATTTATGTGGAATTTTATCGTGTTATTAGTGTTTATAAGTGAATTTTGACCTTCAAGTCATTTTCTAAAGGGGAGTTTGTATGGGGGCAATGGTTTTAAACTTCTAAAAAACTAAATTTTGCCGATTTTTGTTGGCATACTGGAACATTTAACATAATTATGAGCTGAAAAGCCCGATTTCAATCATATTCAATAGCCAAATTTCATCAAAACATCATATGTAGTACCAATATTTTTGGGTGTTACAAACATCAATACAAACGCATAATACACTATATTGGTGTAGAGTACAAAAATATATTTTTTTTTTTTTTTTTTTTTTTTTTTTGAAAAGAGCCTCAGCTCCCAACCAGCGATTGAAAATCTTGATCTCATTACATTATGTTTGAAACCCATTTCGTAAAGATTGTAGAATTTTTATTTAACATATTGTACTGAGATCAAGGTTTCAAGATTTCGATGTACTTTTTGGAGAAAACATTACATATGAAGAAATTTAAATTATTTCCAAATCATACAAATGTAACACCTTTTCCTAACATGGAAAATCCAGCAGCACAAAGGAAATGATAAAACGAAACAAAATTATTTGCGATAACTTTTCCTCAAGAACATATACTTGATGTAGTTCAAGTAAGTAAAACACCAATAAGAAATAAGAAAAAGTATGTATGTCAAAGTAAAAATCTGAACAAACTAATCATCAAAAGAACGAATAAGTATGAAATGTATTGAAATAAAATGAATTGTATGATATGAATGTACTTAAGTTGATGAAATTCTATCGAAGATATACATAAAAAGAAAATAATGGCGTAAAGAAAAAAAAATCAAATACAATACAATTATTTGGGGATTGTCGTAAGAAAACACTATTTTATTTTATTTAATCAAATTATATTGATTTTATGATGTAGAAATGTAGAAAATACATTTTTATTGTCTTTTCTTTTGTAGAGTTTAAACGATTTGATATATGGTAATGAAGAAGAATCTCGGTTAAGATTCAAGAAATATATTTAGTGCCAGAGTTTTGACTTTTTATACCCTACACCACTATAGTGGGGAGGGTATTATACGTTTGTGCTGATGTTTGTAACACACAAAAATATTGGTCCTACACCCACCTTTAAGTATACCGATCGACTCAAAATCACATTTTGAGTCGATTAAGACATGTCCGTCCGTCCGTCCGTCCGTCTGTCCGGCTGGCTGGCTGTCCATGTATGAAATTGATGAAATTTGGACCAAGCATGTTTTTTGGCACAAGGACGAAGCCTATTGAAAATGGTTGAAATCGGTCCATTATTTCACCTAGCCCCCATACAACCGTACCTCCCGATTTGGGCTTTTTATGCCATAATTACGTCAAATATGTTATTATCTCTCTAAAAATTGGCACAAATAAGTTTTATATAAGTATAAATGACACTGCAGATTTTCGTAATGATCGGCCCTTATTTGACCCTAGCCCCCATACAAACCCCCCTTCAAAAAATGTCTTAAACGTCTAAAATTGACTTGTAACCATTTGTATCGCAATGAAACTCAACATAATTAACTATTATTTAAAAATATATCCTTTTCCCAAATTTAATGAGGATCGGCCCATGTTTGACCTATACTCCTATATAAAGCCTCATTTAGAAAATTTGTTTTTATCAATAAATTGCTTAAATACTTTGGAATTAAGGTAAAATTCAACATAAAAGTTTCTTTGTGAAAAATAAAAATTTTTAAAATATACTCATGGTGTAGGGTATTATATGGTCGGCCATGCCCGACTATACTTTCCTACTTGTTTTAAATTTATCAGCATTTTAGGTATGTATAGTTTATGATTTTATAGTATAACTAATATTACTTAGTTATATATTTTTCAATTTTTAATAAGTATTTAAAATAGTATATTATTTATTTGGAAATTATATAAAATTGTTTAATTACATTCCATTTCATTTAAGCATATTTTATTATTTTTGTTGAAACATTTTTTGAAATTTAATCAAACTATTTTTTAACTATGTTAACCGACTGCAATCATACTGCATATAAAAAACTATAAAGTTTTTAATTATATGCCATCACCACATCACTAACTAAATGTACAACATCACACAACACTCCATATCATAAGGTATTTAAATAGTTTCTCCTCCCCAGTGGCAATATTCAAAATAACAAACAGAAGTTCTGTTCGATATAAATAAATTTTAGAAAAAACAAGTTTGTTTTTTTTTAAAGCAACAAAAAACTAAATATTTTGCTACTAACAGTTTTTTTAATACCCTTCACTTTACTGAGTGGGGCATACATATGGGCAATTTCATGTCAAGTGACCCAACTTTTAAAAACGATTTTAATGAAAATCGCACCAAGGTTAGTACTATTGGATAGTAGGCTAGACAAAATTTAATTCGTGAGTTAAAATTTTTTTTTTTTTATAGATATCCCACTCGCATCCCATTGTGGGAATTTAAAGCCCTTAAAGAAAATTGTATAAGCTTTCTGTTAAGCAAAACAAAAAATTTAAAAAAGATTTTGGAAAGAATGACGAAATAGCTATCTGAACTCCTTTGGGCAATTTTTGTTAGGACCAATAGGTGAATAAAACCCTGTATGACCACAATGTCCAACTTTGACCCCCTCTAAATCCGGCAGTTCTTGACCGATAAAGCTGAAAATTTGTGTCTGACCTACTATCCAATAGTACTAACCTTGGTCAAAATCTATTTTTTGAGTTGGGTCACTTAACATGAAATTGCCCATATACAAGTCTATCATTCCGTTACTAATTTTCACAACATCAATAATTTTGTGACATATTCTGAATCCCTATAGATATCGCAGATGTATTAGAAATTTTCATCTTTCTGTCTACATCTCTAATGAAAACAGTTTCCTAAAGACCTCGGATAACTTGTGTAAACAAATCTTTAAAAATTTCATCAGACATATTTTCGAGAAGCAACATGAAGAATAGGGCAGAATGCTATGCCATGTTCGATATATACATTTATATATATGTACATCAAAGGAAATTTATTCATAAGACCTTTCATTTGATATACATTCTATATAGGGTTTTGGAGATTTTTCTCATATCCTAACCACCCAGCAGTTCGGTCGGACAGTCCCGAACTACCTAATCAACCTACCATTTAAAGTTACCTCTAGTCACCAACCGCCCTAGGAAGAAGTCAATCGTCACCCCATACATTATGAAGAGACATACACAAGCTTAAATTTGTTTTTTAAGTGTCCACTCTTTCGCTTACAAAGGGGACACTAAAAGACGATTATTTTCACCCACGTTTACAAAAAGTACATCTGTGACAAAAGAAAATGGAAATCACTGTTTCTTTCAGATGCATTGACTCTTTGTCGAAATACTGGCACATCATAAGTGAACAAAACTCCATCTTATGCTACAATAATCTGGTGGACTGCTTTAGACAAAAATTGTAATTCAAACGAACGGCTCTTTACTTTAGGCGAACAGGCCGAAAGCGGTTATAGGACACGTCATCAATGTATACTGGACACATTGGAAGGTTATACACATTCATCGGACGTGCCTGATCGCATACCAGACACTGAATATGTCGGAAACTTTGAAACGCTGATCCCAGATAGAATGTATTGGTCAAGTGGAACTTTAGAGCAAATACCAGTACAAAGTGGATCTGGGGTTTTATATTGAAGACCCAGAAACGAAATATACCATCGTTTACCTAATCATAACACAAGCTTCCCGGCAGAAATCCGAGCAATAACGGAATGTGTAAATTGGATTAGAATAAATATGGCGCTTACAGCCCTTTATATATTTACCGACATCCAGAAGACCATTGGGCGATATCAGGTGATAGCATTAAATCTAAAACCGTATTGGATTGTAAGAAAGCTTTAACTGAATACTTTCCCAGAGGCAAGGTTTACATCATATGGGTACCAGGCCACTCGGGAGTACGCGGCAACGAAAGAGCGAATGTAATAGCTTTAAAGGGAAGAGAGCAGGATGTAGTTAACCTGATAAACGCAAAACTATTCGACGCAACAAAAGCTGAATTAAAAATGTGGGTGAGAGAATCCCGTAAAATCACAAAGATCCTATGGGGTGACCCCGATGAGAATACGACGAGAAATCTCCTCAAAATGAGCAAGTCTGAAGTTAGTATGATGGTACGTATTTTAAGTGGGCACACAGGATTACGAGCACATCTATACAAAATTGGACGTGCGAATTCAGACGAATGTAGAGCATGTGATGAGGACAGTGAAACTCTGTAGCACTTTCTTTGCCACTGTCAGGCATTCGTCGAAGTTAGATCCAAGTATCTTGGAAGTGATGTTATTCCAGAAATAACATTCCTGACTAATACTGATTGGAAAAAAAAGGTGCGCACAACAGGCTCGATAGTGGCCTTCGTGTATTTCTTCGGATTTGATGTACTATACATCCTCATATCAACCTAACCTAAGTGAACATAATTAAGTACTTTTCAGTCTTGAAATTGAAACGATTACATTTCTAATTACAATTATATTTGAATTAATTGTAATCGTAACTCTACTAATTACAATTACTTGTAATAGTACTAGAAGTTTTGCTAATTACAATTACTTGTAATTGCACTTGAAGTTTTGCCAATTCCAATTACTTATTATTGTAATTAAAGAATTTCCAATTACAATTACATGAAACTGAACGTTTAAGCCACCTTTTGATTAAACAAAAGTGAATTTTTTCCTACATAATTACATGTAATATTTATTCGGTAAATGAGTAGAACTTCAATTACAATTACAAGTAGTTGTAAAGGTCAAAACTTCAGTTATAATTTCAAGTAATTGTAATTAGTTATTTATCAATTACGCATTACAAGTAAGTACAAATAATTATAATTGTTTATTGCTTAATTATGCATATACAAGTACATAATTGTAATTGTCAAGTCCGGTACTTTTTATGCAGCAGGCTTGGGAGTAATAATTACATCAAATGTAGTTGTAATTGAAACTTTGCAATTACTTGTAATTGAAACTTTGCAATTACTTGTAATTGTAGTTAGTTTTGCCAATTACAATTACTTATTATTGTAATTAAATAATTTCCAATTACTTGAACTGAACATTAAATATAAGTTTTGATTAAACAAAAGTAACGTTTCGTAACGTTTCATTGTCCACAATTTAAATTATTTGCAAACTCTAATAACAAAATAAAGCGAACCCTAATATTTTTGTTAGCAATTAATTTTTTTTTTTTTTTTAAATAAAGAAAAATTAAAACCTAAGTGACCTACTTTTGATCATCAATTGGTACATCTGATGCCGAATCAAATGGTATGGGTTGATCTTCTTCTGCCAATTGCAATTCATTCGACAAAACATGTGAAACTTCAGCAGCCATTTCTGCCCAACGATTCGATAGTTCTTCCTAAAAATAAAAATCAAACAAAAATAAGTTATTAAAATTTGAAAAGGAAATTAAGCTTTTAAAATAATTAAACAAAAATTTAATAGTTAACGAATATTTAATTGATAATATCCCGTTAACAGGTTTTAAATTTAAATAACAATTGTTTTTTAAAATTTTTATAAAATAAATGAAATAACAATAGAGTTTTAAAATTTCTCCTAAAAAAAAATCTCAACAATTTATGATTCTATTATGCTAAAATACAAATAAAAAAACCTAAACTCATTTATTATCATTTATTACCAGTATTTTAAAGTTTTTTCTTTTAAATTAATTTTTTCCCAATATTCAATCGAATACAAACAAATGTATAATGAAAGCAGTAAAATGTCTGGTTTATAATTTTTCATTGAAAATTTATGCTTATCATCAAATTTAATTGAATGAAAATATTGTTGTATCAGCAAGTATTTTATTGTATTTAAAATTAAAAAAAAAAAAACTTGGTAAATTTATCTTTAATCTATAACTACATGAAAAAGAAAGAGTTACGAGGCATAAAATATTTTTTAAAGAAACTAAAGTGTAGGCATACAAATGTAACGATAAAAATGTGTTAAAAATTTCCGGACTTCAGCAAAAAAAAAAAAGAATAATATTAAATATGCACTTCGAAAAAAACGTTGTCCTGCAGGACTGTTAGTTAATCTAGCCAGTCAGCTGGTCAGCCGTTCAGGCTCTTTAAAATTAATATTTTTATGTAATAACTGTCGAATGTATAAATGTAAATGTAGAATAAAACAAATGAATTGGGGCTGAAAAGCACATACTGTGTAAAAACTTTTATACATATGTTGAATCATAGGAAAAAATAACTTTTAATGAAAA